TATACACACTCCGATACATCTCATGCCACATTAGCCAGTGTTGCACCAGTATTTTCTGTGGTAAGCTAAAACTCTTTGTATTCTTCTTACAGCCAGTGTAGTCATAAGATGATCACAGCAAGACAATGATAGTGCTGATAAAGGCTCAGTATGTAGGTCTTATACAGTCTATCCTCTGATATACAATGTGGAAAGGGCTCGTTCTTACCATGTGTGGACCAGCATTTTTCTGCACTTGAAAAGTGCAAGTCTCCACAAGAGCATACAGAAAACCATTGCTTTCTATGTGCTCTATTCACACCACAACTGAGCAGAGAAATGCACAATAATACAGTATGTCTGCATTTTTCTACACCACACTGGAACTTTCCTGAAGTCTCTGTCTGTCTGTACATGTTTAAGCATCACAGCTGAAGTGCATTTGCATATAATGTCACTTGGTGAAAAGAAAGAAATGTTACTTAGTGACATTTCAATAAAGATGAAAAATAAAAAAGGTGAAACTGTATCTTGCGGTGTAAAAATACAAGGCACCACCAACTTTGCCTTTACTGAATGGACATCAGCCTGTACACGTAAACGGTATATTTTTGTATGTGGGCCAGTGTGAAAGAGTCCTAAAGACACTGTGACATTCCCCATTCCCTTCTTTTTGCATATTGCAGCAAAATAGCCATCACTTCCTGATATAGTGGGGCATGTCACCTCCTCCAATAATGCAGCTAGTGGCCAATTATTGTTATTATTATACAGGATTTATATAGTGCCAACAGTTTGCGCAGCGCTTTACGATATAAGGGAGACAGTACAATTACAATACATTTCAGTACAGAAGGAATAGGAGGGCCATGCTCGTGGAGCTTACAATCTAAAGGCCAATTGCTAGGCCTAAGAATGGTTGCATGGTAATAGGGTGATGTCACAGCCAACACTAAGGCTAGGTTCACACCTATGCAGGTTGCGTTTGAGCTGTTTCTGCATTGTGTTTTGCATTTTTGCCGCTTTTTTTTTATCTGTTTTGCATTTTTTTGTTTTTTTTCATTTTTTTTTTTTTCTTGTTGCTAGGCAGATTTAAAACGCAAAACACATAAAAAACGCAGCACATGCTTTTCTGCGGCATTTCCATTGAAGTCTATAGAACCAAAAATGCAACTTTTTGCATTCAAAAAAGTCCCCAACCCTTTTCAAAAAACGCACCGGGTGAAAACACGCAGATGTGAACATGTCACATAGGAAATCATGTTAAATGGACTGTACTGCGTTTCTGCAAAACACAGCAAAAAAACGCTCATGTGTGAACCTAGGGTTAACATCTTGCTGCTGACTGCAACAGGGTGAGGAGTGGCATGAGGGCACGCATGAGAGGCAAGTATAAATTGGTCTGGGGATAGGCTAAATAAGTGTCCCTTTAATGCTGATTTCTGCTGGCTTAGAGAAAAAGTGTTGTCTCCTTTTTAAAATAAAAAAAAATGAATGCTCCCAATTCCTCAGCTGTAAGAGGCATTTTTATAGAACAGGATGATTCAAAGCCTTTTGTATAATACTCCAGTGAGGTGGTCTAAATTCATCACTGTATTAAAGTGAAGGATCAGAAATACCAGCCATGGGCTTCTGTCACAAGCAGACAAGGATCATGGGGGATGAGAAGCTCATGTGATAAAAGTTGGCTATTTCCCGCTCTGTCATTCTTGGGTATATAATAATACCCATGAATGGACTGCCTGATTGAGATCACATAGTCCTTTCTGAATCACTGGTGCCGATTAGAAAGTCAGACATCACAATCCAAGTATTTGTTCTAGATTGGTGACACATTGGCATGACAGCTAGGAAACTAGAATTTAGACTTGACAGCATGAATACTTCCTTTAAAAATTGTGTTTACTTCCTTTAAAGACCCTATCTTGTTTTTCTCTTTGTTTTTTGTTTTTTGTGTTTTTCATCAGAACTTGTTTGCTGTTAGAAGATTTCCCCTCCCATCCTGTGACAGTTCAAAAATATTGGAATTCCTATTCCAATTTCTTTTTTTTGTACTTAGGGCAATAGTAATATCGCCAAAATCCGCACGTTCCTAACCCCAGAAACCACTAAGCAGCTCATCCACTCCCTCATCATATGACGACTCGATTACTGCAACTCCCTCCTCACTGGCCTGCCTCGCCACTGGCTATTCCCACTTCAGTAGATCCTGAATACGGCAGCCAGACTCATCCACCTTACCAACCGCTCTGTTTCCACCACCCCCCTCTGCCAATCCCTCCACTGGCTTCCGATTGCCCAACGGATCAAATTCAAAATCCTGACACTGACGAACAAAGCTGTCCACCATACTGCCCCGAACTACATCAGTGACCTAATATCCAAGTACCACCCAGCACGCACACTCCGCTCCTCACAAGACCTCTCTAGTTCCCTAGTCTCCTCCTCCCATGCCCGCCTCCAGGACTTCTCCAGGGCGTCACCCATACTCTGGAACTTCCTACTCCAATCCATCAGACTATCACCTACTCTCCTCTCCTTTAGGCGCACCCTGAAAACCCACCTCTTCAGGGAAGCCTACCCCACCCCCTGCTAATTGCTGACGACTTCCACTCTTCCTACCACTCCATCCCCCACAGCTATTTCCTCCTGTACCACTATCCCCTCCCTCCTAGATTGTAAGCTCCAAGGAGCAGGGCCCACGAACCCCTTGTGTATCGTATTGTATTGTTATTGTACTGTCGCATGTTCTGTCTCCCATTGTAATGTACAGCACTGAGTGAACTGTTGCTGCTTTATAAATACTGTATAATAATAATAGTAAGGTGCGATGTTGAAGAGCGAGGGCCATTTAAGTGATTTGGTAACTGGTCATGGGCCACAGTTAAATGGTTCAGAATTTCAATTTTTTTTTCTTTTATTATTATTGCATAATGAACATTTTCCTCCTGCAGCCACTGAATGCCGACGGGGGCGGAAGAGGAGGAGAAGCTGACTTTCAGTGGTTGCAGGAGGAAAATGGAGAGGTTCAGTTCCTGTATATGCTGCTTCTCCTGTCCAAGTATAACACAGAATGTTACAGGGATGGCCGCACAGGTCCTCTGGAGCATGGGGTGGGGTCACCATTTCGACTCCTTATGCTACACTAATGGTTGGGGGTGGTAAAAACACGTATCAACTATGGGGTTTTACTGCTACCAAACCGCAAATGTAAACAAGCCCTTACTGTCCAGAGCCCCCTATAAGGTTGCTTTCATACTGATGCGCTGCAGTTTACCCACAAGGCACGTGCAGTGCAGAGTTCCTGTGGCTTTCCTAAAGTTAGCTGCGGTTTGCCATAGACTTCTATTATATCTTGTGGCTGTGGTGCACTTTCTAAACTGCACCAAAACGCCTGCATTCTGAGAGAAAACCAAACCCGCAGGATATAATAGAAGTGTGCTCCCCTAGTTTGCGGTCGAGAGCCACAAGTTAGGCACCCCTGTACCAACCCCTACATTCTATCTATACAAAGCTAAAATAGACTATTGCTCCAGCCACAGGTCTCTACCTCAGTCAGTTATGGGGCATGAGGAAGTATTGGGAGACTACAAGTGTGGTGACGTCACAACGCTTGTGTTCCATTGAGAACTAGGAGTCCCTCCGCCACAGTGACAGATGGGACTTGTAGTTTTCATTCACAGATTCCTGTAAATGTATATTGTGGCTGTGCGGTTAGAACAGCAATGGGCAAACTACGGCCCGCGGACCTTTTAATCCGGCCCGCGGAGCTAGGCTCCTTCTAGGCTCCTCTCACAGTCCGCCCTGAAGACCGGTGTAACATGAAAATCTGTCCCCCTCGACGTATCTGCGCATGTGCCGGAGATCGCCGATCGGCTGCTAATGCCTGAAACTGGCACATGCGCAGATACGTCGATGGGGACAGATCCTCATAGGAGACAGATTTTCATGCTACACCGGAACGGCGCGGGAACACGGTGAGAGGAACGCGCGGAGCAAAGGTAAGTGAATTGACACAGGGGGGACTTGGGGACTTAATATGGGGGATGAATTAATATGGGGAATGAATTACTATATGGGGGATGAGTTACTATATGGGGGATGAATTACTATATGGGGGATGAATTACTATATGGGGGATGAATTACTATATGGGGTATATGGGGGATGAATTACTATAGGGGGGATGAATTACTATAGGGGGGATGAATTACTATATGGGGGATGAATTACTATATGGGGAATGAATTACTATATGGGAGATGAATTACTATATGGGGGATGAATTACTATATGGGGGATGAATTACTATATGGGGGATGAATTACTATATGGGAGATGAATTACTATATGGGGGATTAATTACTATGCTTACTATGGGGGAATATTACTATACTTACTATGGATGACACATACACATCATTCATCTACTCTTGGTCCGGCCCCCGGGTCCAATATATGAACCCATTGCGGCCCTCAAGTCAAAAAGTTTGCCCACCCCTGGGTTAGAACCACACAGCTGTGTCAAATGATAACAGCAGTTGGCGGGGAGAAGAACCCCTGATTTCTGAAAGAGAGAGGGGTGGCTTGTGGTGGGGGCTGCACACTGTGACCATATTTCATATTACATCCTAAATCTGGTTGTAACATTAAACCTATTGAGACAGATGGACTCTTCTAAGGCCATCCTTAGCCTCCAGTTATTGCTGTAGGTTTGCAAGCCTTAGAGCAGAAAGGATCAACACTCAGTAGGGGTGTTTTTTGCCATTTCTGTATAGTTCTTGCAGAACAAATAAATGTATAATCTTTCTTGTATTAATTAGTTGTCACAATGTTTATATATTTTTTTTTAGATGAAATTTGACAAGCTTGGAAACATAATATCATTTGGTGAGTACCAGAATATAATTTTATGTAACAATTGTTTGGAGGTTGTTTGGTAAGGTTGCAGTGTATTTATTGGTACAATTTTATTTTTATAAATGGCATAATACAACATTTATACTTCTTGCTTTGTTTTTATAGAGAGGAAAAAAACAGAGTTATACCAAGAGTTGGGTTTACAGGCGCGAGATTTAAGATTCCAGCATCTTGTGAGCATAAGCTCTAGAAATAACAAGATCATTTTAAGAATGGAGGTATTTAATTTCTAAGTACAAAATCATAGACTGCCAAAATGCATTTCATCCGTTTGTAATCATTTTTTATTATCCTTTATTACTCTTTATGTTTAATTTATTTTAGCCCACATTCAGTCCATTTTTTTTTTTATGTTTTTCTCCGTAATTTCAGAAAAATGTGAAAGTAACAAAAGCAAGACAAATTGAGACTGCACAATATTACAATTGTTAGAGCTAGATTGGTACTGCAATGATAATTCAGAAAATGTGCTGGTCAGTCCCTTGATATATTATTTATTTGTATTAAAGAAAAATTGATTGAAGGGGATTAAAATAAATTCCATATGCTTATACCTTCGCAAGCAGTTATGACAAAGGATGTATGGAATTGTTCACATCTGTCTTGTACATTTTATGCTGCTTATATGTGACTGCAACAATAAAGCGTTTTTAAACTTGAAAGCATAGACTTATTATATTGAAGCCTACCAATACCTAGATGCAATGGCTTCGTTTTTTAGTCTTTCTTTCCCTTATGTTCACCTGTTGACCTGGCCAGTAAGTCTTTTTTTTTTTTCAGAAGAACAAGCTCTCTTCCAGATGTATCAGTTTACATGGATGGGACAAACTATTTATTGCCAACAGGGGTGCTTACAATGATCAGCTTTTATTTATGAAAAACCTTTGTCCCAAAAGTAAAAATGTTGCTGTAACTGATTTATTGTTTACAAACAATTGTTAGTGCATCTAAAGCTGCTAATACATCTAACACTCCCCTCCCCCAGACTGACAATGCTGCTGTCCAAAGGTGCCCCATGTGCTCCACAGTGGGGGCACTCTAATACAGGAGGTGTGTTACTGGCTAGATCACCAGGTGAAAACAGAAGGGAAAAAATCCTAAAAAAGTAACCAATCCAGCCACCACATCTAATGTTTGGTAAGCTGAAATATATTTTTGTTTTTGGGTTTATTACCACTTTTAAATGGGACTGTAGACCAAGGGTGAATTAAAAAAAAAAAAAATGTGCATAACACAAGCACAACATTATTGCCAATTTTGATTATGCACAAACAAAAATTCTGTATTACTGAAGTGCCATAATACAAGCCAACGTAGTCTAGTCAAACAGTCAATGCATGTACTGTATGCTGATTGTTTGTTTGTTTTACTATTTGTAGTCCTGTGCTACCAGTCTTCCAATGCACAAATCACTTCCCCATTCCCAGGAAAGAGACTCCACTATCTCTTGGTTCAAATGCTATTTTATGGAGTGTCTAACCCGCCCTACCAGTGTATGAAATTTGAGTTAACAGTGTATATTGTGACCAAATAATATTGAATGTATTATGTAAAATATAATAAAACAAATCCCAGCCGTGTGTGGATCTGTGATAGTGAACTGATATAATAATTGTAAGAGGCTGCTAACAGCAAGTTGTATTCCCACAACCTATGTGAAGATAAAATCCCATAAAAATACTGCTGCACCTCCTTAATTCAACACTAATTCAACTTACCATCATCCTAAAATGCTGTGACAAATAAAAATACATAAATATACCAAGTAATAATAGAGCGTAAAATATTCATAAAGTGTCCTCTTTGCTACTGATTATATGAAAAGTTTCAGATTCCAATTCTTCTTAATTGCCACCCGTGGTATTCCTTATGCAGTAATTACCACCACCATTCACCATATGCGCTCACTTCCAATATTGGACCTGTCAGAAACTCTTTCCTCGCCTGGGGGTTGCTGTTAATTCCTCTTAGTCATCGCCCCTCCCCCCCTCCCCGGGGCACGTTCCTTTATTTTCACTTTGGAGGTTATTTGGCACTGCATATAAATGGTGTATGGCCCTTTAAAAGATTGCAATTTCTTCCTGTAGTCCCGAACTCATAACAAAGGGGTTCCTCATAGTGTCGTATATCTCTTAATGCTTTTTATTTAATAAAATTGCACTTACATTTAACATAAAAGAACTGGCATAGATTACAAAGGAGTGGTGCCTCAGCTCCCGCATCACCTGCGCTTACGGCTGTCGGTCACCTGGCTCCGCCCTATGGGGGTAAGTGGGTGGTTGCATTTCTACATACAGTGGGACTATGGAGAATAAATGTAGCCAACCTCTAACAGGAAGCCAGATTACACCATAAAAAAAAGGAATTTGGAGAAGGCTGACAGCAATAGACCGTAATTGTTTGAGATAAGTTTGGTACACACTAAAAGAAAATTGTGCGAACAATCGTCTTGTTTTCCTCAGTGTTTCACAGCAAGTCAAACCTGAAGATGGTGGTACTAATCGTACAAAAATTCTCGAACAACAAAGGCTTTTTGGTTTTTGTTTTTTTTGTTTGACATAGAAACATTGTCGCGTAGACTATAGTTGTTTATTGTTTCTGATCTTACACAGTCTTTCATATCCAATTTTTCTGTTCACTTACAAGAAATATTTTGGTGTTTGTCCATTTAGAAACTTTCATTTGGAATGTCTGAATTGGATGTCAAAACACACTACATGGAAATCAAACGATCATTGCTTGTGCAGAATTTTAACCAGAGTTTTTACTGTCGTTTTAACTATGATTGATTTTTTTACAGCAAGTCGTCCAAAATGCCTTTCTTGTAGTTTGTAATTCCTTCATTGCCATTGGTATGAGAAGTTGAGTAGGATAACTTTTTTTTTTTTTTTTTTTTTTTGTTTTTTTTTTTTTTTTTTGGGGGGGGGGGGTTTACTCCTTGAAATGTTGGACAGTGGGAGCAAAAAACATTTTTATGTGTATTTTAAACTGTGCACCTAGCTGTTTTCTTGGAATTTCACTTTAAAAATCCATATTGGTAAAGTATTTTAGTTTTAATTGATTTTAGTTTTCTTTTGTGTTTCAAAGTGTTATGAATTGGCTGTTTCTTCTCTGTCTTACAGTTTTTAAAAGCTGTCATAACAACAGAATATCTTCTAATACTGGATTATCGGAACCTTCATCTAGAGCAGTGGTTCCTTCGGGAACTTGCTCCTCAGCTAGCAGGAGAAGGACAGCTTGTGACATACTCCTTACCCTTTGAGTTTAGAGCCTTGGAGGCAATCCTGCAGCACAGGGTGGGTAGATACAATATGACCTGTAAAAATAAGTGACTTTTCTAGCGGTTGTGTGATGTACCATTACTAATGCATACTTGATTCACATGTGTCACAGATGGGCTTGGAGTCAATATAAAGCTACCTTACTAAAGTTCTAAGGATTAATGATTTTCATGCCTGAATTTCTCCATCACAGTCACTAAATATCTGTGTTAATGCAGGACATGGAACGTGACAGCGTAGGTCACATCAGTAAATTGAAGATTCATTTGTATTCATTTTATTGTGCTGATGTGGGTCTTTGAACTGACATATGGTGAGCCATGAAAGAATCTTCATTCTTTACAGAGGTACATTGACAGCCACAGACAACTCTCTTAAGGGTGTGGATTGGCTTTCAGCAGTGTACATGTAAAAACAGTTGTTGAACATTTAAGATATAAAAAAGTGTTGCTTACATGTGGTGGAATGTTCATCTCCTAATATTTTTTCCTCAAAGACTTCTGACCCTTGTTTCTATCAATGTCCACATGATACAGGAAAAAAAACTGCCTCCCTATCAAAATCTTATCAGTTCATCTCTGGGCCTGAAGTGATAGAAATTTGCACTGCTAAACAGCTTTTAAAGACATCTGATCATATGAATTGAAGGCACTTCTAAAGAGGCAACCAGTGACTAGGCAGAGCTTCAAAAGTACTATCATTTCATTTGTGTTGCTTTTACTTTTTTTTTTTAGACCTATGGCTTCCACTGTAAAAATGATTGTTATTGTCACTACTAATTAGTGGAACTGCAAAAGGTATTAAGCTCTACAATGTGACAAGGTGCACCTTTTGCTTGTCTGTAGGTAGACTTTTTTTCTTTTTAATTCATTCATTTTGGGACTGTTGAGTCCTCTTTTTGTTAGTATGACGTGCCATCAGCTTTCTGTGAATTTTTTCTCTTTTATTCGACTTGAAGTAATGTCTGCATTCATGTTGTTCATTAGATTAGCATTCTACAAGAGAGACTTCAATATCTGCAACCTCATATTCTGGAAACTTTGGAAGCGTTGGTGGACCCCAAACTAATGTCAGTAGATAGAAGTAAATTGCATGTTCTACTCCAGAATGGAAAGAGGTAAACTGTAAATGTAAACAAATGGATTGTTTTCTTATGATGTTGGGTTGGATTATAAAAATATTTTTTTAAATTTATTTCAGTTTATCAGAGTTAGAAACAGATATCAAAGTTTTTAAAGAAGCAATTTTAGAAATCTTGAATGAAGATGAACTTATTGAAGAACTGTGTTTGACCAAGCCGGATAGTCTTCAGCCCCCGTATGTATTGCGATACAAACCTTTTTGGAATTTTTAAATTCTGGTACTACTGCAGCCCTGAGCTTGCTTCAACCTGTTCACATTTTGGATGCATAGTACTGTGCAAATTAGTTGGGGCAAATCGGATATTACAATGAGACAATTTCAGGTTTGCAAAACAAATGTACTGTGTTTACTATCTGTCAGTAATTGATATGGCCTCCCTTAGCTTTAATTAGCTCCCTTACCCTCTTAGGCATTGATGCCACTACTTTTTCACCCAAAACTTTGTCAGGGTCCCTAAACCACACTTGGAGAACACTTTCTATCATTTTAATTTTTGATGTACAATCCATCTTTTTTATGCAAGCATTCATCTTTCATATGTGAGCTTTCACAATAGCCCACAGGTTTTCTATCGGGTTTAAGTCTGGTGAGTTTCCTGGCCATTTCAATACTTTTAATTTTTGTTGGGAAATAAAGTCTTTAGTTAACTTCGAATTGTGGTAGGGAGCTAGGTCTCGATGGGAACACTCGGTCTCCATCAGGAAACAACTTCTTTAGTACTGGGGTCAGTTTTGCCATCAGAACACCTACATACTTACCGTATTACTGTCCATCATTCTTTTCAATGTGGTGAAGTGTTTCATGAGTGGTCCATGAGTAGTAAGGCACCCCCAAAACATGACTTTAGGTGGCTGTTTAGGAGCTTGCTGGATGCAATCAGTTCAAAGAGGTTCTCCAGGCGAGAGCCAAATGACGTTTGGCTTGTATCAATGAACATAATCCTGGGTTACGTCTGAGAATATTACTTTCTTCTCCTGCTCCAAAGTCCAGTCTCTAGGTTTATTTGCCCATAACAACTGCTTCTTCTTCATAATGGATTTTCAAGAGTTGCTTCTTAACTGGGCTTCTGGTTCTGCCACCACACTGAAGGAGTCAGTGGTGCACAGTGGAAGTGTCCATATTAACCCTTTTGGGGTCCCCATTAGTTTCATTGGTTTTATGATGCTTATTCTTCTGATTACCACCATCATCCCTTGGCATAGTCCTTTTTTTTTTTTTTTTTTTTTTTTTTTTTCCCCACAGCGTCCTTTTGCAAGACGTGTCCACAGACCCTGTCTCTTGATACAGGTTCACAATCCTTGAAATACTTGATTTCCCCACTCCAACTGCATTTACCATCTCCCGAACCGTTAATTCAGTATTTTCTCTCAAAGCAAATATTTTCCATCACTTTTTGAGAGTGATGTCCATCTACATCCGTACAAAAATAACAAAAAGTAATCTGTATAATGAAATAACTTTAATTACTTCTTCACTGGGAAAAATATCAATTCAGACTGAAGTAAATAAGTGAAAAACAGGACAGCACCTTCTCAAACAATCTGCACCAAGTTTACACCCAATACAGAGTATGGAAATGGGCTTGCATGCTTGTCCCAACTAATTTGCACAGCACTGTATTACATACAGTTGGTTGAGAATTCTGAACTTGTTATAGGGTAACCCCACTTTCGTGGGGAAAAAAAATTAGCAAATAAAAAAAAAAAAGTATAGTGTTTACAATTGCGACACAAGTCATATTGTAATTGAATGTTATTAAAAATTACCTTTTTCTTTACAATCTGCAGTACTAAAATGTTTGTGTAAAACTCAATTCATTATAGCTACCTAGAGGCATTCTGTGTACGTTTGCCGCATATTGGTATGGATAGATCACAGCTGCTGGTTTCCCTAAATCCTTTGGAGGGAGAACTGCATGGCTGAAGCAGGTACTCTACCCCCTGGGGATCAGAGAGGGTGGAGTAGAGGAATCAGGAGTCCCTGACTACTTCCAGATAGGGGGACGCATGTCTTCTGAGCCAGTTGAACTATGGTGCATAGGCCAGGGCAGAAGGCAGTATGCTATGCCACAGGTTTCCCTAAATGAACAGCAATATGGTGGGTTTGTGAGTATACCCTAGTGTCAGCATCACCCGACACCAGGGAGAAGCGCAAACGAGTGGGGGATGGAGCAGTAGGTGAACCTGGATCTTCCCAGGAGTATTACAACAGACTTCATTTGCTCAGCAAGGCAACACCATGTAGTCTGATTTTTGCCATGACAGCTGCTATGAATCTGGCAGATGGCTCCAAGGTAGATTGGTTAGATTTTTTTTGTATAACATACTGTAGGGAGGCACAGTGTGAGGTTGTCCATAGGAAGATGACCTCTCTTTGGGTTTTGGTTGCTATGGGTGTTTGCGTGCCTCTTACAAGCACAGGGTGAATGTGCTTTCTGTTTTTGTCCATCATTAGTGTAATTTGGAGGCAGAGGCCCTAACACCTGTTAATCTGCAGAGCAGAGTGCTGGCGAACTCGGAGATCAGCTGAAGCTGCGACCTATTAACTCCTTCCTACATTTATATTACATTTGTGCTTTTGCAGGGCTAGTGGGGTCTGCCTACTCCATGTTTACCATCAATTACATTCTCCATTTTTTCAGCAAGGGGAGGTGACAGCCTAGTGGGTCTGCTGCGGTTAAATGAGGACTTTCTGTACTTGAATTTGGGCAATAACCCACCCCTAGGCTGAAATAGAAACATAAAATATGGATGCTGCAGCATTTAATAGACAGGCTCTTGGGCTAAACCTCTATGCAAGGCTTTCATAGACAAACCTGTGTTTAATGATTTGCTTGTTAATGCCTGCAGGTGTTGGCCTTCTGATTGCTCTAGTTGCAGGCTTCAGGGCTAATATGGTTGCCAAATCTATTAACTGCTTCCCGCCCTCCCACAATGTTCTGCAGGCAGGCGACTGCTACAGGAAAAGCAACATATGTGTGCGTCGCTCTGGCTGTATTAACACAGGGGGGCTCTGCACGCCTGAGCGGGCACGCAGCGCTCCTAACCCGAGACTGCAGAATGAAGATCCCGGTGAACGGGACCCCGGTGATCATCTGGTCGCTATGCAATCACATGATCTCAATGTTAGCAAAGCTGCTATGAATCAGTCTGATTCATAACAGGTCTGCTTCTCTTCCTAGTGAGCTGTGATTGACCCACAGCTGTCACATGATAGGGCTAGTCGCAGCACCCAGTATCATGTGATCAGCTCCAGCCAATCACAGCTACAGGCATCATCTTGGTATCATTTTTTTTTTCCTGCTGGTGGTCGGCATTCATGTAAAAGGAATCCTAGTGGCCAAATAGCTGCTGAATTGTTTTTACAAACAGTGGGAAAGGACATTCTTCATGGCTCCACCCCCCCCCCCCCCCCCCCACCCCCCCCCCCCCCCCCCCCCATCCTGCGCCTTCCTCAGCTTTTGGGCTCTCCTGTCCCACAGGGGAATCTGAGAATGCAGCCGTCATTTCTGCTGACTGACCATAAAGATGATCAAAGACCAGAATGGCTCCGATCATCTCTATGGTCTAAGAGACCGGAAGCTACCAGCATTTCATCATTTCCGTTTTGACGGACTTTAACCACCTTTTTTAAATTGGGAAAGCATCTGATCAGACTGATCTTGGTGTGATCAGATGCTTTAAGGGCAGAGGAGATATCTAGAGTCTAATAGACCCCAGATTTCTCAGAAAAGAAAACCTGTCACTGCCTATTGCTCTCACAGGGGATATTTACATTCCCTGTGATAACAATAAAAGTGATAGAAAAAAAAAAAGAATGGGACAGTGAGGTATCACTGCAAACGGCAGATCGAGGGTGGTAATTATAGTGCTAGACCTCCTGTGTAAATATAAATTGGTGACCTGTAAAGACTTTTAAAGCATTGCCTATCGATATTAAAAATGTATGTACTTTGTCCCCATTGCATGGGCATGTGCAGTTTTAATGAATGTCATGTTTGGCATCCATTTACTCGGCGTCACATCATCTTTTATATTTTATCAAACAATTGGGCAATCTGTTGTGTTTTTGTGCATTGAAATTCTAAAAAGTGCAATTTTCCCAAAAGATTTGCGTTTGAAAAATTGCTGCGCAAATACTGTGACGTAAAAATTTCAGCACCCACCATTTTATTCTGTAGGACCTCTGCTTTAAAAAAATATATATGTTTGGGGGTTCAAAGTAATTTTCTAGCAAAAAAAAAAAAATTTTTTCATGTAAACAAAAAGTGTCAGAAAATGCTTGGTCTAAAAGAGTGGGTGATGTGTGGCATAAGCTTCTATTGTTGGCCCTGAAATGCCAGGATAGTAGAAGCAACCCCTCCAAATAACCCCTTTTTGGAAAGTAGGCACTCCAAGTTATTTGTTAAGAGGCATGGTGAGCATTTTGCAGATCTTATTTGTTGCCACATGTTTTTGGAAAACGAAGAAAGAAAAACAAAAATGTATTTTTTATTTTTCAAAACCCTGTGACAAAAATTATATCTGTAAAATACCATGCCTCATCAAATTCCTTGGCAGGGGTGTGGAAAAATTTTTGAAAAATGGGACTAAATCAGGGCCCCAATCTACTTGTCCCTCATGACAATCTATTTTTCCAGATGAAAAAAAAAATAATTTAACCAAAACCGTATTTAAATCGATGGTGATATTAGGAAAGTCTGGGGGTTTTAAAAACAAAAGGGGCTTTATGGTGACTTAAATGTGTAATATTTTTAACATTGCGCTGTTTATCTCATCATTCCCCCCGCCTGTCTCCAGCACCGCCCCCAGGGACTAGCAGGAGAGAGACCTTGCAGTGTGATGAACACCGATTGGCTGCTCGTCTGGAAAGGGTGGGTCAGGGCTTATCCTTTATCCCTTCTGCTGCCAGATCCATTTTTGCATTTTTTGAACAAGTTTAAAAAAATCATTTTAGGCCTGAAGATTACACAAAACGCTCAAACATTATATATTTTCTGACAGCAGAGACACTAGAGAATAAAATAGTGGTAGTCCCAGTTTTTTATGTTGCATGATTTTAACGCAAAACTTTAGTAAAATATACATGTAAGTTCATTTTAGGGCACAAAAAAGCAATAAATTACCCTATTTTGTTTGTAAAATATAAAAGATGAGGAATAGAAAATATTCTATAGAAAATAGAATCCAGCTTGTCAAACCTTAAATTTGTGCACACTCGTGAAATGGCGACAAACGTCAGTACCCTATATTTTCTATAGGTGACACTTTTAAACCCCCTTATAGGTCACAAGTTTAGCATTATGGAGGAGGTCTGGTGCTAGAATCATTGCTCTCATTCTGGCGTGCGCAGCGATATGTGACATTTTTATCGCAATCGATGGTTTCATGCGTAGGCATCCCAGCTTGTGCTTTTACTTGTACTCCTGTGAAGTAGGAGAATTGTAGTCCAGCACATGTGGCCTTGTCACAATCAGGCATTGTGGGAACTGCCATATCAACCCTCTCAGATAGGTTGAAGTAGTGTTTTGAGTATCTCATATTTCTATAGAATTCATACTTATAATTCTGTTTTTACATTAATGCCCAGGTAGCGGAATAGGTTTGGATATGAGTTGTAAGCTACTGGATCCCACTTTATTTACACAAAGATTGACAGTTGTGTTCTTCTTCTTATGAAAATTGGAAAGCATTTATCAGTTAATGTATGTTTAGTATTTTTATCAATCTTTTAACTTTGCCAACACATAAACACTGCACTGCATTGTTGAAGTTCTAGCTTAACTGATAGTGTGCATTAATTACATTTACAGGACAAGTGCTAATGATCTCGAAAATAAATGAGACTGTTTCTCCCCAAATGGCTTAATGTTTTCTTTATGTAAATATAATTGTTTTATGTCAGATAGGAGAAATAGATTTTAGTTTTGTTTACTCTGAATTGATAGACTTTTTTTGTGCTTCAGATATTACTGTGTTTTAATGAATGTGTTCAATGTTTATCTGTGAAGATTAAATGATTTTTTAACTGTTTAATTAGATTTTTGCTTTTCATTTACTGTTTGCCAAGATAAATGTCCCCATTTATAATTCTTCTGGGTATTGTACATACTGTTTTATTAAATTGATTTAGATATAATGCTGAGCATTTATTGGATTTTTTTTTTTCAAATCACTAAATGCAAATATAGGTGATTTTTGTCAGACTTTTCTGTTTTTTAAGGAACATGCCTATGTTTGTGAATGGTGATGATATAAGGATCACTGGCCAGGGCTGCTTGGATCACTTGCACTATATCGCCAAAAGTATTGGGACGCCTGCCTTTACATGCACATGAACTTTAATGGCATCCTAGGCTTGGTTCAAAGGGTTCAATATTGAATTGGGCCACCTTTTGCAGCTACAACAGCTTCAACTCTTCTGAGAAGGCTGTCCACAAGGTTTAGTGAAAGTCTATGGGAATGTTTGACCATTCTTCCAAAAGCACATTTGTGAGGCCAGGCACTGAAATCAGATGAGAAGGCCTGGCTCACAGTCTCCCCTCTAATTCATCCCAAATGTGTTCTATTGGGTTGAGGTCAGGACTCTGCGCAGGCCCGTCAAGTTCCTCCACCCCAAACTCACTCATCCATGTATTTATGGACCTTGCTTTGTGCACTGGTGCGCAGTCATGTTGGAACAAGAAGGGGCCATCCTCAAACTGTTCCCACAAAGTTGGGAGCATGAAATTGTCCAAAATGTCTTGGTATGTTGATGCCTTAAGAGCTCCCTTCACTGGAACTAAGGGACCAAGCCCAACCCCTGACAAAGAACCCCACACCATAATCCTCCCTCCACCAAACTTTACACTTGCCACAATGCAGTCAGGCAAGTACCATTCTCCTGGCAACCGCCAAACCCAGACAAGTCCATCGGATTCTTTGCAGGAGGTCTTTGATAACGCCCTGGAAGAGGGGCGAAACGCGTCAACGTAACTTCCGGTCTTTCTTTGATAAGCCGTGACGTCATACCCTGTGAGTGGAACACACGCGAGACGCTGCGTTCCAGAGCCATCTTTACATCTTTTTTTCATTTATTTCTTTGGAGCACATTGGATTTAAGATATCTTCATTTTTTGGATTGGGACTTTTATTTTTTGCACTTTTATTTGGACATTTTTTGCGCGGTTTTTTAATTTTTATTTATTTTGTTTCGATGGTTTGTCAACAAAGAGCAGCAGCATTGGTTTAGGAGTTTAATATTTTTTGGCGCAGGTTTTTTTTTATTAATATTCATCCATCGGATTGCCAGACAGAGAAGAATGATTCGTCACTGCAGAGTACACTTCTCCACTGCTCTAGAGTCCAGTGGCGGCGTGCTTTACACCACTGCACTTGACACTTTGCATATGCACTTGGTGGTGTAAGGCTTGGATGCAGCTACTCAGCCATGGAAACCCACACCATGTGCTGATTGTTGTTGTGCTAATCTGAAGGCCACTTGAAGTTTGTAGGTCTTTAGCTATTGACTCTGCACACAGTTGGGACTTCTGTGCGCTTCAGTTTGCGCTGATCCCGCTCTGTCATTTTACGTGGCCTACCACTTCCTGGATGGGTTACTGCTGTTCCCAGTTGCTTCCACTTTGTTATAATCGAACTAACAGTTGACCGTGGAATATTTAGTAACAAGGAAATTTCACAGATGGACTTATTGCACAGGTGACAACCTATCCTGGTACCACGCTATAATTCGCTGAGCTCCTGAGAGCGACCCATTCTTTCACAAATGTTTGTAGAAGCAGTCTGCATGTCTAGGTGCTTCATTTTATACATCTGTGGCCATAGGAGTGATTGGAACACCTGAATCCAATGATTTGGAAGGGTGTCCCAATTTTGGCAATATAGTGTATCTATTTAGTTTGCTGAGGCACTTTAAACAGTTGCCATGTTTTGTTTCCATAAAATACTGTTTTTCATCTATGTTGCATATAGGTGCTGCTGATTTCCTCCAATATTTTTTTTCAACCTATTCCTGTCTACATGTACTCTCTCTGTCAGCTGGACATCATTGCTGTGAGCAGGTTTCATGATAATGGCATAGTGGGCCATGCCTGCACAAAGTTGGTCAGCAGGACCGCTTGTTTCTCCACCAGGGGCACATGAGACAGGGGTAACAATGCAGGAGCCCTACCCCAATAACAGCAAGTGCTTGAAATATGATCATAATATGTTTAGATTTTTAGTTATTGAGTATCAACCTTTGTTTTTTGCTCTCTCAGAACAAAAGGTTTTGATGGACCAGTGAAAAAAATAATCAAGGCTTGCTCAATTATGCAACTAAAAGTGCTGGAAAAAAATGACTCCTGTTATGTTCTGGAGTAAAGAGTCCTGTCTTCTCACTTTTTCTATGTCATTGGAAAAGGGCCTTCATCCACTTCAGAGATTGTGGCCATATGATGTCTGCAATCTCCCTGCTCATTGGTTCATTGGTGACGTATATCGCTTAAAAATGTTGATTTCTTTTTCAGCGTGGAGGGTACTTCCAGGATTGATCATGCTGAAGAGATGGAATTGCTTCTGGAGAATTATCATAGACAAGCAGAAGACCTAGCTAATGTGGCCAGAGAGCTACGTTTACTGATTGATGACTCAGAAAGTGTCATTTTCCTTAACCTGGACAGGTTGGTTACTATTATATTACTCCACTACCTGCATCATGTAAATTATTTGAATGATCTGTAGTATTGCTTCTGAGTTTGAAACTATAGTCTGACATCCCAAAGGAGACAATATAGCTGCCTACCAGCCAAGGGACAATAATGGAAAAAGTTTAAATTGCCCATCTTACGTCTTTCCTTAGTGTTTTCCAGTCCCTTTCCTGAATGGAACAGCATCAGGACAAGTTCCACTTGGGATGCTTAAATGGGAACAATACTTGCCTCAGCTCCAGCAATACGGCAACCCTGAGCTCTCCGCCCGGGTCTCAATCGCCAGCTGACGTCATTGGCCGGGTGATGATGACGTCACTTCCATGCATACGCAAGGAGTTTAGTCAAATATAAAAACAAATAACTGTGCTGCGCTCCTATATTGATGTAAATAAACTATAAAAACAGTGTAAGTCCTTACAAATATATTATCCAAACAGTACACAAAATTACTTGAACGATCCCTTTAGGATATAGAGAAATATTAGTGTAATAACATTATTATGTGTCTAATATCAATAATAAAGTGAAATACTCCTTTTCTGAGAGATGGGTACAAATAGGTGAATTCACTCCAACATATAGATGATTGCGGTATATATGAAGCTCAATTATGCGCTCACCTCCATTTTTAGCCAAAAAAATACAGGCTAAACAAGCTGTTTATCCTAAAAGGATAAAATGTGCACTGATGTTCACCACCTTCTTTGAATGTGTTCACAGCGTGATTTCCTGATTATCCACCTGGTGTCTCTCCTCTCATTACTATCCTATGCAGATCTGTGGATGTATGGATGGATGGATATTTCCTCCTTCTCACCTCCAAGGGGAATAAACCTCCTAGATCCACTTCGGAAGTCTCCACACATATAATGCCAAAAAAAGAACAAAAGATAGTGCTTTACCCTTATAAAACACTTTATTGCATAGCCATTGTATTGCACTCACATTTTAATAATTAAAACAAACCTTAATGCATATCTCCTTGTGTGCACCGCACACTAGCTGTACTCGCCGTATAGAAGCCGACTGGGCGTGGTGACGTCAGAGCCCCTCCCCAGGTGGATAATCAGGAAATCACGCTGTGAACACATTCAAAGAAGGTGGTGAACATCAGTGCACATTTTATCCTTTTTTAGGATAAACAACTTGTTTAGCCTGTATTTTTGGGCTAAAAATTGAGGTGAGTGCATAAATGAGCTTCATATATACCGCAATCATTTATATGTTGGAGTGAATTCACCTATATGTACCCATCTCTCAGAAAAGGAGGATTTCACTTTATTATTGATATTGGACACATAATAATGTTATTACACTAATATTTCTCTATATCCTAAAGGGATCATTCAAGTAATTTTGTGTACTGTTTGGATAATATATTGTAAGGACTTACACTGTTTTTATAGTTTATTTACATCAATATAGGAACGCAGCACAGTTGTTTGTTTTTATATATATTCTGACACTATTTATGAGTTGGTATGATGTGTTTGCGAACCTATTTGTGCATTTATAATAAGGTGATTTCATTTTTATTATTTTTGATTCAAGACATATTTATACATTTTATTTATATATACTTTTTTGTATTTCACCTATTTATAGAAATTCACCATATTAGCTCACGAGTAATAATTTAGCAGGAGTTTAGTCAGATGCGGCGATGCCGAATTTGTCCAGTGAGCTGCACGTGGGGCGGACAGGCAGATAAGTAGCTTTAATGCAGAGGAGACAAAGCATGTTTCTTCTCTATTAAAAATCCTGCCTGTCTTCACATTTTTATTGTGGAGCCTAAAGTTCAACTTTAACTAATTCTACTATACAGGTATAATATACAAAACCAGGGAAAAGAAAATAAGTAAAATAAATTAAATCTAGTGTGTGTCAACAATTTTCAGCTGCAGTAAACACTCAAATATTATGTGCAATAGTTGAACCCCACTTTATATTTTATCATTAGGTGCACAAGTGCATAAATACTTCAAAGATATTCAACTAGTACTTAAAATATCAACTAGTGATTCCAAGTAAAGTCCAGTGATACTATAATATAAAATCCAGTGTGAATCCCATGTGATATATCACTGACTCCACTTCAAATGTGCTCTTCAGTCTACAAATATTCTGTTAAAGGGTGGGAGGGGCCAAAGTTGATGCTTGAGTTTCCATGTTCAGTTCATGACAATCCATGCCATGCCTAAATAAAATTGGTTTAACTCCATCCCACTAGGGTGTGGGATTCTGGAAGGGTGCTGATAACAATGTCAACATCCTTCTAAAACTAGACAAGTCAGAAGTTATGACTATATTCAGAGTTCAACATAGGATGTTGCCTGTTTTATATAAATAATGGGCCTGTAAGCAACATATATAAGTGTCTTTCAGCCTATGAATTAAACTGATATAGACCAATTTTCATGGTAGAGGCTATGCCGATGTGGACCCTCTAGTTATCAAGGATATTTATGAAAACGTGGTCGGCATATCCAAGAACTGTAGTCTGACAACCAGATCCTAGTAGAACAGAACACTGTGGGGCAAATCAGACCAGGGAGTTGGATCTGTGAAGTTGAAACAACAATGAAGAATTCTGGGAGAGAATGTTCCCTCATGACAGCAGGTGATGTGAGATGGTTATGGCACAGATTCTGTGCTTAAGGCAGGAGAAGGAAATCTATGTGATTGACAGCAGCCCGACAGGACGAGAAGGTGCTGCTCTGATTGACTGACTGTAGCATGACTGAAAGCCAAGCTGGGCAGGGATATAATCTATGCTTAAGGCAAAAGGAGGAAACTTCCCTGATTGACTGCAGCCCAACAGGAAAGGTGCTGCATTGATTAGCTGCAGTATGCCTGAGAGCCTGGCTGGGCAGGGACAAACCATGTAGCTGGCTATATTATTGAGCAAGTGAGACTGGCCATTGCCTATAGTACTTGGTCCTATGCAGGAACAAGGTAACAGAGCATAAGTTGGAAAGTACAAAACAAGAAGAGGTTTGCTTGTTAGATCTGTGGAACTACAAGTAACATACTGGCTTGCTTGCTTGTCTATGGAACCAGCAGTGAATGACCACAGCTTTTACTTCTGGTCTGTGACGTCTATCATTTGAGTCACTAGCACTGAGCACTTGGTTCAGGCTGGGACTTTATTGCCCATCCTAGGAAAAGCTTATACTTGAAGGCCTTTGGCATAGCTGATGATGCTATATAACAATCTGTTTACATCTATTTTTCCACAGAGATGGATTGATGTCCTTTTTTCATCTATCAACGGATGGATGAAAAATGAACCAATGGAACGCCCATGTGAAAGGGGCCTTAAAGTTGACCTGAGCTGAGAAAGTTGAGGATTTTCAATGGTATAGGAAAAATTGAGATGTTGTCTCTAAGGAGCACCCAGAAAGATTTACAATTTTTTCTTGAATTTTGAAAAATGACAGTGCACCTATAGCTGTATGTCTTGTATGTGACAGGTTGTGCTACCTGGGACTGCTAGTAGCATAAGATTTAAAGTGAGATTTGGTGATGTGCTGCTTGCTGGAGAGTAGTCTTTTGTACTTGACTTACAATGGTGGCCTCCTCTATTATCCAGATAGATTCCTATAGTTGCATTTCTGCAAGTCCTGTGCTTCCTCACATGTAAAATACTGCAATAACAATGCGAAATATGTGCAAACTGAAAATACACTATTCTTTCACTTAACATTACTTGTATGGTATATTTATCAGTTGTGCTGTCATGGAGAGTATAATCGAACAACTAAAATGATGCCTAATCTTTTCCTTAACCCTCCTCCATGTACTTTTTCGTCGCAACAATTAGCATTCTAATTAAATCGATAAAGTTCTCTGGAAAGCATTGACAGATGTGAGAGAAGGATGGCCTGATTTTCCTCTTTCCAGGTAGGTGGGCCCCTACTCTCTTGCTTGGAAATATACCAGTACAAGTAAATGTACCTGTTTGTTTTCCAGCCACCGAAATGTGATGATGAGACTGAACTTACAACTTACGATGGGTACCTTCTCCATCTCTCTCTTTGGTCTCATTGGAGTTGCCTTTGGTATGAATTTGGAATCTACCTTTGAAGATGTAAGTACAAAAATACATATTATAATTGAAGAACGAGAAATATACATATACACATGGATAATGGAGAAATCGAGGCCAATCTTGTACAGATTCTTTAGAACTTTAAAACCAAGACAAAATAGAGAAACAGTTAATTTACCAAGTCAGTACCTCCATTATGTTTCACAAAATGCCTTGCTCATCCAAATTCCAATTTGATATTACAAGAAAACTGTGCCTCACCAGTCCATCAGATACACTCACACGGTTCTTTTGTCATTACTTTCTTCCCCATTAGGTAAAAATGTAACCGTTCACTATACAGTACAGTTACATCCCCCCAACTAAACCACGTTGAAACCACGTATGACAAACAGGTTTCACTTGCAGAATTGGCTTGCTCCTTTCTTTCATTTTGGATCTGAAGTCCAAGACATTTTCACTGTGTTCCATAGTGCAGTGCAGTGCAGTGCATGCAGCTAGAGTTAGGTGTCAGTGGTTGTCCATGCTTTTAATGGAATCATGGCTCAGTAATAGAGTGCTGCTCAGCTTTTGTTATTTGTACAGCCTGTGGTATTGGCAAGTCTTTCCTCTTGCTACAGCGCATTGTGATTTTCTGCTCATAGATGGCAGAGAAAATGGCTATGAAGCCTGCCTGGTAATAGAGAGGTTATGGCTATCTGGCATTCAATGTGGTGTGAAGATTTAGCATGGAGGATGTATCTTGATCACCAAGTTGCATTTTTCTAATTGGTGACCAAGTAACCTGGATTTATCCAGCATTTGGCAGATACCTTTATAAGCTTTTAAAATACCGTGTGCTACCTCCAGAGGGTGGATTTTAGTTTGACTTCAGAATTATGTAGTTCGGAATATATCTGCACATTTGACTAACTGGACCTAGTAGCCAAAACAATGTTGGCATTACTGCTGACTATTCACACAGGCCAATAGCTTTATTATCTTCGGTTGCCCTTCAGCTTTGTGACAATGATATCCAATGATTAAAGTGAATTCAGTTATACTATTGTGGCGTGTGTGTTTTTATTTATATATATATATATATATATATATATATATATATATATATATAGTCTATATTTCCAATGATTGAAGTGAATTCAGTTATACTATTGTGGCATGTGTATTTTATATATATATATATATATATATATACACACATATATATATAATATATATATTCATATCATATATATATATATATATATAAATAACACACATGCCACAATAGTATAACTGAATTCACTTCAATCATTGGATATATATATATATATATATAATAGATTTTTTTTTTTTTTTTAATGATTAATCTTCACTAGTTTTAAGAGGTAGTGGCTGTGACATGAGCTTGTGTGCCCACACAGATTTTTTTTTTTTTTTCTTTTTTTAATTTTGTATTCTTTTTATATTCTGTGAATTCTTGTTCATTCTGTGCATTTTTTTTTCTGTTTCTCTTCTCTGTTTCTAGGATGCTAAGATCTTTTGGTTTGTTACTGGAGTAATGTTCCTAGGAAGTGGTCTAATATGGAGGCGGTTGCTTTCTTTTCTTGGAAGGCATATAGAACCATCAAAGCCTCCCTCGGTATGTTGGTAAAAATTCTTCCTAAAATTTGATTTTGGAGTTTGTTGAGATGGCAGTGTGTGTGTACTGCATGGAACATTTTATTACAGAAATGACCGTGAAACCAAAATGAGCCACACTGAAATATTTAGTATGTTACAAGCAGGACTGAGGAATGGAGCAAAGAAAAAACTGTCTCTAGAACAGTGTTTCTTAGCCCTTTTCCAGTCCTGGCTCCTGTGAAATGTATTTTCAGTGTCAAGGCACCACACTTTAAGGCTTGGTTTACATCACTGCATGTCAGGGAATGGATGCAAAACATACACACAAATGTTCTGCTCTTTAGCAGATGTGTAGGGGTGCCATTAGTTCTTAATTGTACTTCCTCGCATTGGCAAACCATGATGCATTTTCACTGTGGCACAAAAAAAAAAAAAATAAAGGGTTAGGAAATGAATGGGCTGCCCTGCACAAAGCATGCAGCCATGCAGATGTGAGCCACATGAGGTTAGGAGATTGTAAAACCACAAGGTTGAGCTGTGTTTTTACCACCCCAGTAGCTCCCCCTTTAGCTGCAGAGGCAGCCAAAATTGTACACTTTTAAAATTAAAAAGTGTAAGAGCGCTGCCCCCTTATGATGACAAACAAACAGTTCCTTGTGACTTTGTTAGTGGATTTTTAGCTTCCAAGGATTAAAGTGCTCTTCATATATCCATGTAGTTCGTGCTCTGTGTTCCCCCCAGTGGTCCCACTCACTCACCAGCTCCTGTGGACTTTTATAAACAAATAAGAGTCAGACTCGCTTTGGTGGAGGAGATGTTGGGTTCTGCTGTGACTTGTAGTCCGCCTCTGTTTGGCTACACTGGCCTATTTCAATCCAACATCATTGGCAATCGAGTACTCATGTATAAGGAATGGAGGAGGAAGGCCACATAGTGTAATTCCATTTATTAAAATCCAAGGAATAAAACAAAACATATATTGCACTTACAGTGCAAGTGCTGTGCTGATGTACTGTTCAGCGGAGCAGTGGGAACTTAGTCTGATTTGAATGCCTTTGTCAACCAGGTTGCCGCAGCACCTCTGACAGCCTCAGATGGCACCCTGGTTGAGTGCCTACTCTAGAAGAGTAAAATGTGTGTGAGGAACAGTGTGCATGCACTTATAAAAAAAAACATATTTATCACCCAGTCTAATCTTAGGCCCCTTTCACACAATCGGGTTAGATTTCAACTTTTAGCAGCAGTTCGAGGAACTTGGAACTTGTATATCGCAGCTAAATGCAGACAATACATCCCTGTGGCTTAATTTACGCACTGCGTTTAGCAACATTTTCATAACATAAAAAAAAAATATATAGTTGACAGCGTCCTGGAGTGATGTACCTCAGCTATCTGTATATAAATAAAGCACACAAAAAAAAGTAAACAGTCACATTAGAAAAGGCAAGAATTTACTAACACCGCTAAACGCAGCCGCATGTAAACACACACGTAATCACAGATAAACACAATGTACAAACGCACGTGATCTCTGTGCCAGGAATGTTGGAGTTTCCTAACTTTTTATACTGGTAGCTCCTTTTTACAACCTTCATTCCAAAAAAGCTGGAACACTGTGTAAAAAATCTACATAAAAACAGATTGCAATGATTTGAAAATCTGATAAACCCAATAATACTAATAATGTCTCACCATATGGAGGACAATAGGAGTTAAGAGGAAGATTAAAGGCTGTGTATATGCAGAAGTGTGTTAATGACTTAATTTGTATGTGAGCAGGTTTTTCACCTGGTGTGGTAGTACACCAAAGTGTGAAAAGAAGAAGATATTCACAGTGTCACGTATTAACGCCAGTTGGTGTATTGTATGGACTTTTATGTTGATGGGACTATTTAAATCACAAATGTTTGTCACTATAAATAGTGGTACAAGTTACGTTTAGGATAGGGGATCTGAGGGAGTTGCGCTGCACTTTTTATGAAGATTATGCACTCTACATATAAATTCTTACCTAGCTGCTTACTGGTTTATGTAAATTGATTTACAGCAGTAGCAGTACACAAAAGCCTACTTGTATTTTTGCAATTTTAAGGAGGGTTTGGTTTCTGGGTTGCAATCACATTCAAGTCTAATATAGCTTATTTTCCTTTATTCCATTTCCCCCCGCAAGCTATTGAGACCACCCATCACATTGCTAGCCAAGGGTAGGCGTGACCGCATTAAAGTCAAATGCTACATATAAGTTTTGGTGGCAAATGGTCCTCTAGAACCCCATGGATTCAGGCAGCAGAGTAGCTTTTTAGATTATTTGCGTCAAAATAGCCTGAAATTCTGTGGTGCACTAAAAAATCCAGTGCAACCAGCGCTTGCATGGTCACCTTGTAGTCCTGCCCTTTTTCACTGCCAGAAATGTAACTGGCAGCCCATTGTGCACATTGTGTAGCACCATACCTTCGTACCAAACGTTCCTTCCTGTTGGCCAGCAATGCGTCGGTTTCCCAGTTAGCTACTGGAACATTGAAAATGTAGGTAAACCTAGCCTGCATGTTTACTCTGTAGTACTGCTCCTACGACCTGAACATTTGTGTTTGTGAGATATATGGTGAGTTGCCACATTGCCTACTAGGGCACTGAAAATATATATGCATGTGCTTTAGAGCTTCCTGCAGCTTGGACAAAACATGTCTCGACTTACCCCAAAATACAAATGGAAGATCAGTCTAATACTATTCTTTAAAAAAGTTCCATCCCCCTCCTTCCTGCATACCTTTTATAAAAATAAAAAAAATAAAAAGATACCTTTTTTAATCTTGGGCACGTGATCCTGCAGCTCTGGCTCCCTTGTTTAAGGAACTGCTTAACAGCCGCAGCAGTGAATTTCCAAAGCTGTGACATTACCCATAGGCTCTCAAGGCCCAGACGTTGTCAACGTTACCTCCTGTCCCCTGCAGTAGCCACTCGCTGACACAGCTGGGGATCACCTAACCAGATCGAGGAAAAATAGGTAAGTACACAGATCTTCTTTTTTTTTTTTTCTTTCAGGTTAAGTAGGAGGGAGGATAGAACATTTAAGAATGGCTAGTACTAGCCTTTGCTACCACTTTAAATTACTAAAGCTGCATGACTGGGGAAATTATAATATGAAATTCTCACTTTACTAGTGTTATAAATGGACTTAATAGTTTGTATTTTTCTGTTTTCTCCAGATCTTGAAGAGGGCATTTCCTTTCAATGGAAGAGTAGATGCACCAAATAACCAGAAAACGTAATCTTTCATGTCCAATGAACTACTAAGCAGAGTGACTGTTACAATGGTATTTCTCAACCACGGAACAGAAAGCAAAGCGCCCAGCGCTGTGCTGGCTGCAAGGACATTTTTATCCTGATTAGTGGAGCAGCTTCCACCTCCTAGTGTGCCTCCTATGAGTAAACAAGCACATGGAGGAAAGCAGTTTATGTGGACTTCATTCACTTGCACTTTGTCGCATTTTGTGAGTAAATATAGAGGAAATATTTTTTTATGTTATTTGACTTCTGGTATATGTAATACTAATATTAATCATCCTCTTCCTGACCAGAGACATACATGGACCTGTGTTTCATTTCTAGTAATACAACCCTCACTGGAAATTCACTGTATAGTGTACATTTTAGATTATCTACTGCACTGCCATGGTAGTGGTACTTGAACAAATCCTAGAAGAAGTTGATCGTATGTTGCTATTTCTGATAAAGGTCTATACTATAGTGCAGATATTCATTAATAAGTCATAATACATGCTTTTCCCTGATCCATGTAGTAACACAGTGGGGCCTGCACTCCTACTATTTGCCTAAGGAAAAAAGTATATGCTGCCATCTGTAGGTGAAATCTGGTAACATCATTTTGTTTAGCCACTGATGCTTTGAGAGCAACTTTTAAGCTGATCATAGATTGGTCAAAAATTGGCTGGTTCAGCAAGGACCCACCAAACAACAACCCATCTATGACCATTCCTGCTCAAGAGAAGTCAATCTTATGATTAGAATGCAATAGTACAGTGGGGAGGATTCCTCTGTCCATTTCGAATGTGTGTATGGAGCAATTTTTACTTTTATCAGCCTGCTGGCTGATCCAAACAAAAAGGTTTCCATCGAGGGCCAGATTTAGTTAAGTGTAAGTCCATCAATCATTTTAGCAATTGAGTATGAGCCAGTATTTGCCCCATTACAAGGCCATTTTTCTGTTTCCAGTGCTGTGATATTTTGACAAATACTCCATCATGCAACACTGTATCTAAATAAATTTTTATATCATTTTTGGAACTGTTTTTTGGATTTTTTTTTTTTTACTAATTAAAGGAAAAATGTTTCTTAGTTGTACAGAACACAGGATCTTTAACCATTGCTTATATGTAGCTATCGTCAGGTGATTGGAGTGATTGAACACTGGGTAAAACGTTGCAAGGAAATCCCCTATACCAGGGCCTGACAAATTTACAAATTCGCTTTGAAACTAGGAACCAGCGAAAAAAGTTAAGAGCCATTTTTTTTTTTTAACTAAAAAAAGTCATTTTATTTAAAAAACAAGACGGCTGCCTCATTCAGTTACAGTTTCTACTGAATGAGACAGCTTTCTCCCTAGCTAATTTTTGAGGTATGCATGTCCCTTTAAAACTCTGAAAGTGTGAATATTTAACACTTGAAGTTGTTTGGGCTAAAAGTTTTAGTGTGTGTGTGTTTATGTGTAACAGGCTGTGTCAGCTAAACTCTGCTTAATTCCCTGTTTGTCTCCAGCACTGTATGTGGGAACTAGTAGGGAGGAGGAGAGGTGAACTACGATGCACTCAGTTGTTTTTTTGGTTTTTTTTTTAAGATGTTAAAACTAAATCAGGAATTGCTTACTCCTGGTGCCAACAGTGAATAAGCTGACAAAAGCCCAGGCGTTGGGATGCAATTTCTAGTTGCCATGGTGACCTTTTCTAGCCCATCCCAGCATCCCTTTAAACCGTTCAAAACGCTCAGGGATAAGGATCGGCTTTTATGTAACCA